ATTAAAATTAAAAAAAAAATCTTCCTAATTGCAATTTGTACACTATATTTATTTCTGATTTAAATAATAAACTGTTGATTCATATAGCCACACTTAGAGTACATTTCCATCCACTTTTAGAAAGGTTGAATGCGCTGTTCAGAAATTTTTTCGCTGTTTGCATCTGTTTGGAGAGCATTACCCTCACTCCTGTCCTGCTAAATGGTGTTCCATTGGGATCAGAAATGAGATTCTGAAGGTTCTGGAGGCGTTTTTCAGAAAGCAAAGAGAGCAATATTGGGAGAAGCAGATGGATTTTGGGCAAATTGGCAGGTGAGGTTGTTATGTAGCTAGGATGGCATTGTTAGATGCTTTTATTTGGGATAGTTTAAAGTGTCGCCAAATTATAATTGGGATTAGGATTTTACAGTGTTAGTGTATTGCAGATTATGACAATATTTGGATGGATTTTTTTAAAATTATTATTATTAATTGTTAGTTATTATGACATGATTTATTAAGCACCCAGTTTGAATGTCGCTTTACAATATAATAGGGGACAGTACAATTACAACACAGTTCAGTAAAGAAGGGTCCGGGCTAATGGAGCTTTCCATCCAAAGGGAGGGGGGGGGAAGTTACAAAGGTAATGGGGGTTGATCTGATGGAGAAGGTTGAGGTACAGTTTTTTAAGTGGAGGTAGGATAGGCTTTTCTGAATAAATAGTTTTCAATGATCGCCTAAAGGTGGACAGGGTAAGAGCATACTGACATACTGGGGTAAGGAGTTCCAGAGGATGGGAGAGGTTCTGGAAATGTTCTGGAGGCGTTCGTCAGAGGAGGTAACAAGGTGCTAAAGAGCAAGATGTCTTGGGAGAAGCAGAGAGGACAATGTGGGCAATATAAAGTATGAATCTCTGCAGGTGAGGTTGGTGATGTAGCTAGGGGCAGTGTAGTGTATTATTGCTTTGTATGAATTGTGGTTTGTATTTTGAATTTTATACACTGGGCTAGTGGAAGCCAGTGAAAGTTGCATTGGCACCGAGGGGCAGCAGTCAAAGAAATTGGTTAATCCAAAAAGGAATATTCCCTCTTTTTTACTAAGTCAAACAGCAGCATTCATAATAGACTAAAGTGGGAATAGCCTGTGTTCAAGGAAGGCCAGTGAAGGGGAGTTGCAGTAGTCAACAACGGGATATAACCAAGAAGTGAAAATAAACAATTTTATGTGTCGTTAGTCTGGAATCCTGGGGCAGATTCAGGAAATGTCTCAGAGGTCAAGGTGGCAAGATTTATCCAGTGATAGGAAGCTGTTGAAAGTGCTAAATGCAGCTAATTAATTATTTGCAATGGTAAAAAGACTCATCTGCAGACCAACATTATTTTTTTCTCAATAAAAGTGGAGTTACCATTTAAGTTGATTTCAACTACTGTATAATACTGTGTACTGCCCTCCTCTGGAAGTTCCCTATCATAAGATTCTAAGAAACTGTTAGCAAAGGTTTCATGCCAGTTGCTCCAGGCTCCCTTCAGCTGCCAGCACCCAACCAGAACTTAAAGATAAATGCAATCATTGAGCGCTTTAAAATGATAGCAGCTATAGCACGCAAGGCAACCAAAAAATAAACCTCATAAATATACGTAGAAGTGCCATGCTAAAAAGTATATACTCCAATAAAATATGTTATTTTATGTTCTCCAAATCATATGGGTAATAAAAATAACACAATAAGAAAATATTAAAAATAAATAAATTAATAAGATAGTGACAGTTCGTGATGAGTGATCTATATAGGAGTTACTAGTGACTTCCCGATCCTGTGGTCTGGTGACAAATAGTGAAAATGCGCACTCACCAGATGCGTATTTTCAATACGCATGTGATATATAAACCAGAGGTCCCCATCATGCGTGCGTCATCCTTAAGGTGGTATCATGTGTCACAGACTCCTGATGCTTGGGCTCAATGTGCAAATAGACGTCACGGCGTGCAGGCCCCTTTAACGCGTTTCGTGCGATAGCACTTCATCAGAAAGGCATGGCCCAACCAGAACTGTGGAACCTGTAGAACCTGGCAGCGACCATGTGACCCAACACTCGAGGAGCAGCTGTCTGGCATAACATTACTTTAGTACAGATTTTAGTAGCCAGTTATGTTATTGGACACTTACGATATTTATATTTTTTACATTTAAAACAGGCTATGGATTTATAAAGCACTCGCAAGTTCACATACACTTAAGTCTGCAGTGACATCACTCAGTCAGTGTCACCTTTGATGTCATCCTTAATTGTGAACCTGTCAGTCAAGCAAAAATTTATTGTTTTACCCAAATAACCTCAGTAGCAGAAGAACAATGTTAATGGCTTGCCGATTTATGGAAAGAATGCAACTTTCACATAGGAAGCAAAGGGGGCTTCCCTTTAATAAAAGTGTCTATATCAGCTGACGTCAGATCTAAAACTATGCGTAAGCTATAAAATATATCTAAACAAAAAATGGATTAAAAGTTGAATTTACTGCTAGATGGATGTCTTTTACATTTATTAAAACAATCCCCAGAACACATAAATTATCCCTGAGCTTTGAGAGCCTTCTGTTACTAATCCACTTATAAAAATGAAGTTTTGTGAAGTCAAATAAAAGTATTTTAATTTATCTAAACTGTGCATCTTAAAGTAATCTTGTCAGGTTTTTACAATCCTTTTTAAAAGGTAAAGTCATGTCTAGGATCAAGGACCTCAAGAGGTGTCCTACTAGCTTTTTAGCTAGAACATCCTCTTCTGTGCACCTTATGATGCCAATTCAACTTTGCTTCTATGGGTTTTATGGGTTTTATTTTCCTAATGGCTAAAGCTTTGCTTGAGCTAAATATCCACCAACCTTTCATGTCCAATTAGATAATCCCTATTTGACCACTTTGGCACCCTTAGGCCTCTTTCACACAGGTGGACAGAGGGTGGTAAAAACAGGCGGATGAGCAACAGTATACCTAAAGCCTACTATTACAGCCAGAGAAGGCTGTTTACATGCTGCTTACGTGATGCTTTGTGTTGTGACCACGGCAAATTCAAAATGGCATTAGCCTGCTTGGGGCGCATCTTGGGTAAAACACAGAATCTTACCAGGATACTAATTTTAGGACTTTCCTGTTTTAGATTATTTATGTATGCTGTATACCTTGTCATATACTGACCGCTTGACTAGGTTTTATGTACCTCTATTTGTTTGTATCATTGTACATCTTCAATAAATGCAACTGTTAAAAAATTTAACATGGTCAGTAGGGGGCCCCATGAAATGCCCCTGGTACCTTTTTTATAGGCTTTTTTGAGTGTTGGCAAGGACACAGGGGCCCCATGACCCCCTATTGCCCGGGGGCCCCATGAGTTGTCAGGCAGCCCCTGTCCCAGTGGTTGTGCATTTATCGCTTGAGAGTCACTAAAGTAATTCATTGTGGGGCCAAGGCCTTTTTCAGATTTGGCATTTAAAGCGGTGCTTGTCATGCAGTTCCCAGTCAAGATCCCAAGCCAATTCCAAGTCTGATTGAGTGTAAAGGGCTCAGTACACATGTTTGCTGTGAATTAGTGTTGCATTGGCCTGAATGTCCCAGCTATTGGTTTGATTTGCTACCAATGAGAGGAGCCCATTGCTGGAAAGCCTTTCAAGTTTGGGTGGAATGTTCCAGTAACATGAACATTGGCTACTCTGTATACAGGCCCATAGGACCATAGCAATTTGATACAATCAGTGCTGAAAAAAAGGAAGTAATCTTGCTGCAAGGAAATTTGGGAATATGTCTTTCCAGGAAAAGGTTCTGTGGAGTTGTAATTGTAAAACACATGTTCATTGCTTTGCTACACACTTTAGACTGGGAATCTTTACAAACACCTTCAAGGGTGGACCATTCCATCAGAGCTAGATTGCTTATGTAGAACCGTCCTAGCAAAGGATGCTTGGCAAATTTAGTTTTTGGAGTCTAGGGAGCGATGTCAGAGATTGTACTGGTCTGATCAGGGTTTCCTGAACAGAGAGTTTGATTGCTTCCTCCTGTCCTTAGAAGAAGCTTCTGCAGTATAGAGGGGGAAATTCAAATAATTAGTTGAATATTTATCAGGTGCCAGCCAATCCCTGGGAAAGTGTATCCAGAAGGTAGGTAATATAATGCGCATAGCCTGAGCAGATTGCTCCGTCCTCATTGGGGAAGGTTCCAGAGCCTCTTGGGCTCCTACCCCTCTGAGACAGCCAGTGGACTGAGTATCTGTTCTCTGAGGTCTCAGCTGGGGCAGAGCTGGGGGCTTGACACAATCTCTTTGAGGAGCTGGCTGTGGGATTTCACCTTATTGGATCTGGTCTGGAAAAGGATTTTCTCCCTCACTGGGAAGTATCCAGAGGAATGGAAGGTGTGCAGCTGTCCTGGGGACTTGTGAGTACTGACCCTGAATGGTGATCCCTGGTGACCATGTGCTTTGGGATGTAAGTGCCAGTGGTAACAATGGACTGAGACAGCTCTCATAGGGTCTCAGAGTACTGACTATTGCCCCCCTGTTTCCTCTGCTGAATCCATGTACATTTACGGGGAGGGGGAGCCTGTGGAAGAGTTATCTCCTGTTTCGATGCAGCATTTTGGAGTATCCCATACCCTAACCCCTCTCCAGTTTAACCACTTGCCCTCCACCCTAGAGCAGAAGTACTGCTACAGGGTGACACGGCTGCGCAAAATCACATATGTATATATTGATTTGCATTTACGGGGAGGGGGCAGGCGCTGTACTATTTGGTGGCTAGGGATGTCAATCACGGGTCCTGGCCAATGAATCTGCTCTGATGAAGAGGGTCCATCTTTGAAATTAGTTATCCATGATGCAAGCTATAAAAATGGGTGCATGCTGTCTAACAGGATCTACTACGGGGATTTCTTTTGTGTAGTGAGGGTTGAGCAGGTCCCTTCCGTGATATAATTTTCAACAAAACAAGTTTGTAAAAAACGTTTGTATTAGTTTTCTTTTTTAAATAAAGACTTTAACCTCCCTGGCGGTATTCCCGAGTGTAGCTCGGGGTTAAGTTTCAGCACCACAAGCGGTAACCCCGAGCTACACTCGGGAATACCATGCGGCGTTGCTCCGCGATCTCTCGATCACTTACCTTGTCCTGCGTTCCCGCGATGCCCCCCTGCAGTGTCCCCGGCAATGTAATCCGGCGGATGCCGGCATCTGTCATCTGGGTTCCGTCCCCTGCGAGCGTCAGGACGTACGGGGATGGAACGGCAGGAAATTTGAAAATGACAAACAGTGACATTCACTAAAATCACTAAAATCACATAGTAATACATTCTTGTATCAAACCATTTCACATACATTTTGTCCCGAGTGCTTTGTCCGGCGCCCTGCCTGCATTTTTACTGCTCTTTCTGCCTGGAAACTGAGAAACGTCCATGGCGTCCAAAAAGCGTCCCTTTAGGTCAAAAGCGGTTTTAGACCGGCTAGAGAACAGCGATAGTAAATCAGAACCACTTGCGGAATTGAGTGATAATGATTCGTGGGGAAATTCGTCATCAGACACTGAAAATGATTTTGCGACTTTGCTCAGTGATGTGCGAACTTGGCGCTCTATTTCAAATTTCAGTGTTTTTGGTTTGATTATATTATTGAATGAAATATTATTATTATTATTATTATTATTATTATTATTATTTTTTTATGATTATTTATTAAATTATAATTTATGATTTCGTGTTTCAAGTTTTATCCTACCCTGAATGTTTACTAGACTCTTGTTCGGACAGATTTCAGTGAGTTATTCCTAAAAATTACAGGCCTACCATATAAAAAAAAACATATTTCCATGCAAAAAAAGTACCGCTTTGAGCACAGAAATATGGACATAATCATGTCACACGATGTTTGTGCGTTCTACAGTGCCTTGTGAACATCTCAGATTTAGCACCATAGCCCGTATCAGTCGTCAGTCTTATCAAATCTTGTGCTCAATTTGTCAGATTTATCAAATTACTAATCAACAGAGATAGCAAGAAAAGCCCAACAGAGATTCTACTCCTATATTTTCCCTTCTCTGTTGTAAAATACAAAATTTATAGACTTTAATCTGTTATTATTCCCAAACATAAATTCAGTTTCTCCATCAAAGCATCCACCTCTGGGAGAAATTCTCTTTTCCACAGAAATAAAATACAGCAATCGATATTATGCACAGCATAAATAGCAACAAGCTGGGGAACTGTCACTTTTCGCCTTGTTCAATATTCACAGCAAAGTCTCCTGACACCTGAGGTCAAGGATTATCACAGATTAATGTCCTGAGTTCTAGAGAGGTCATCCAAGCTTAACCCTTATAATCCTATGCACGCCATAGATTTATTTCCCACCTTGTGTCAGGTGTGTGACTCCCCTGTGACCACTCCAGATGTTAATAAAGAAAGAGCTTAACCTGACATGCTTATTACTACTATGTCCCAGTCCTATCATGCATCGATCCAATGTATTATTTCACATTGTTATGCATTCACAGCTTAAATAATTATGACCATTTAAGGATAATTCCATCTCCGCCACCCCCCTCTGCCAATCCCTCCACTGGCTTCCGATTGCGCTACGGATCAAATTCAAAATCCTAACACTGACGTACAAAGCTGTCCACCATACTGCCCCGAACTACATCACTGACCTAATATCCAAGTACCGCCCAGCACGCACACTCCGCTCCTCACAAGACCTCCTTCTCTCTAGTTCCCTGGTCTCCTCCTCCCATGCCCGCCTCCAGGACTTCTCCAGGGTGTCACCCATCCTCTGGAACTCCCTGCCCCAACCCATCAGATTATCACCTACTCTCCTCTCTTTTAGGCGCACCCTGAAAACCCATCTCTTCAGGGAAGCCTACCCCACCCCCTGCTAACCTGCCGACCTCCTCCACTCTTCCTAACACTCCATCTCCCACAGCTTCTCCTCCTGTACCACCATCCCCTCCCCTAGATTTTAAGCTCGAAAGAGCAGGGCCCTCGATCCCCTCATGTTTTGCATTGTATTGGTATTGTTCTGTCACATGTTCTGTCCCCCTTTGTAATGTACAGCGCTGAGCGAACCATTGGAGCTTATAAATACTGTATAATAATAATAATAATAATAATAATAAATAGGTCTGATCCCAGTTACTACAAATACATATAGATTTTAACATGTCAATGTAGCTTTCAGTAAAAAAAATCCTGATGATCCTGCCATGAAGGTCCTTGATTGAATAACTACTGTTATTGCTAGGAGCATTTTGTATGCTCCTGTGCTGGCCATCCCCACCTCCATGAATCCCGCTCAGCCATTGTGTCTCCCTAGCTTGTGTCATGTGCTGGGCAGCAAGCCCTGCTTTGCCTGTGGAGCCCCCTCAACTCTGGCAGGCATGCCCTCAAACAGCTACCCCATTGCTATATAGGAATTAGCTTTAGATACTCTGCCTCTTCTGCCCTCATAGGCTACAGCACATATCGTGCCCTATTTAAGCATCACAAGTGCACTGCTCAGGGCTTGTGATAGTTCTGTCTACACTGGCTCTGAATGCTGTTTCTCTAATTCTTGATTCTAAAGCCTACATATCCTGTTCCTGGAATACTCTCTTTTCTGCTGCCTGCCCCAACTTAATCCTGTCCCTAGAATATTCTCTAGTCTGCTGCCTGCCCTGACCTCAGCCTGTCCCTGGGTTATACTTGCTGTCTGCTGCCAGCTCTGACTTTAGTCTGTCTCTTGATTGCTCTTACTGCCTGTTGCCTGCCCTGACCACTGCCTGTCCTTAGATAATACTTACTATCTACCGCCTGCCTTGATTCTTGATTCTAAAGCCTAGATATCCTGTTCCTGGAATACTCTCTTGTCTGCTGCCTGCCCCAACTTCATCCTGTCCCTAGAATATTCTCTAGTCTGCTGCCTGCCCTGACCTCAGCCTGTCCCTGGGTTATACTTGCTGTCTGCTGCCAGCTCTGACTTTAGTCTGTCTCTTGATTGCTCTTACTGCCTGTTGCCTGCCCTGACCACTGCCTGTCCTTAGATAATACTTACTATCTACCGCCTGCCTTGATTCTTGATTCTAAAGCCTAGATATCCTGTTCCTGGAATACTCTCTTGTCTGCTGCCTGACCCAACTTCATCCTGTCCCTAGAATATTCTGTAGTCTGCTGCCTGCTCTGACCTCAGCCTGTCCCTGGGTTATACTTACTGTCTGCTGCCAGCTCTGACTTTAGTCTGTCTCTTGATTGCTCTTACTGCCTGTTGCCTGCCCTGACCACTGCCTGTCCTTAGATAATACTTACTATCTACCGCCTGCCTTGATTCTTGATTCTAAAGCCTAGATATCCTGTTCCTGGAATACTCTCTTGTCTGCTGCCTGACCCAACTTCATCCTGTCCCTAGAATATTCTGTAGTCTGCTGCCTGCCCTGACTTCAGACTGTCCCTGGGTTATACTTACTGTCTGCTGCCAGCTCTGATTTTAGTTTGTCTCTTGATTGCTCTTACTGCCTGTTGCCTGCCCTGACCACTGCCTGTCCTTAGATAATACTTACTATCTACCGCCTGCCTTGTTTCTTGATTCTAAAGCCTAGATATCCTGTTCCTGGAATACTCTCTTGTCTGCTGCCTGCCCCAACTTCATCCTGTCCCTAGAATATTCTCTAGTCTGCTGCCTGCCCTGACCTCAGTCTGTCCCTGGGTTATACTTACTGTCTGCTGCCAGCTCTGACTTTACTCTGTCTCTTGATTGTTCTTACTGCCTGTTGCCTTCGCTGACCACTGCCTATCCCTAGATAATACTGTCTACAGTCTGCCTTGATCGTTGCCTGATCCTACATGACCTTAGGTACCCATTTTGGTATTTTTGCTTTTTCCCTAGTACCACTTGGCCAAAAACTATATCATTGTGGGTTAGTTCCTGGTGGCAACCAAGTAATCTGCTATAGGTGAAGTTGGACTAGCCAGCTATAGTCTTTTACTACTGTATTGGGGCAAGCATTACAGTTATAGGTTGACAACTGTCTATTAACTGTGGTGGGGAATGAATATAATGATGCACCTGACGTACATAACACAAGCATGGTCCACCATTGTCACTATCAGGAAGCCAGTCCAGAACGATGTGCGACAGGAAGTGGCTACAAAAAGCTGCAGGAGATGACAAAAATGGTGAAAAAAATTCAAATGATATTTTATGGAAAAAAGACAGATATTTAAGCATTTACCTAACGAAAGTTTAGCCATTTGGGGTTTAGGTCTACTTTAATTTTTAAAAATCTCCTTCCAAAACTTCTAAAATAGATCTATTAAAAAACATGAGCTCACGTGCAATGTTCAGTAGATTCTATCTAATGTAAGCCTGCCTAGTTTTTGGGTTAATTGAATTATTGATAGTGTTTCAAAGTGAGGGGAAAATGTAGGTACTCTCAAAGGGTTGTTGAAAAACATGAGCAGGGCTTAGTTGAGTGGACAGGTCATAGCTTTAAGGTGATTATTGACCCTTTAAATTTTCAGCACCTTGGAACTTGTTCACAAAAAACACAATGATTAACAGACTATTGTTCTTTGTTTAAAGCCTCTTCTTAAAGAAATACAGGGGCTGCTATTTCTCCTTCTAAAAATTGATAGTTGCCTGGCTCCCAAGCTGGACTAAAGGCTTCAGTAAGTGACCAACCAAGAGCAAGCAGGCATACACATAGATGTTGTGGGTCAATTTCCCTTTAATGCCACCTTGAATACTGGTTGTTTCACAATGAGAAAACTCTCTAGAGTGCCCAATCTACAACTTTTCTAATCCACTTATCAACTATTTTTGAATCCATTACACTCCAGGGCATTCTAAAATGACAAAATGGATCTGGCACGGCCTTGTAATTCCCCTGCTAAAATAATATCACCTTGTCCATATCAGGAGCAGAATAAGCAGACAAGGAGAAGAAATTGCTAAACAGGACCATTAAAACCTTTCTTCTCTCCTGAATGATCCATTACGAGGGAAAAATACATTAACCATGCATTCTCTACAGCAGGACAATTTTTCTCGTTAATGTCCTTTGATATCTTGTTTAAAGCCTATTCGGTGCATATAATGCCTAGACCAAAGCCTTAGAAGGAGCAAAATCCCATTCCTTAAAATTACTAAAGACTCGGCTGTTGGAGAGCCCTCACTAGCCCTTAATGTAGAACATTCCCTTTCTTGAAAGGAAGCCAAATTTTGTCATTATGGAACTCGGAACCTGGAGGGGAAGAGACACCTGTTGTCTATAACATGCCTTTGAAAAATTAAACTTCCATGGTGACCA